CTGCTTTGCAAGATTATGAGTCCCCCAGTTTAAGACAGGGCCACTGGAGATGTTCCAAACCTTATGAGCTGTGGGTTCAAAATTTAGCTCTTCCTTTTAAAAAAAAAAAAAAAATGATAACAACAGGGCATGAACAACCAAAGTTTTAGTCTTCATCCTGGTCATACTCAGCTTCATGAAGGTAAGGGATGGCTTTTACACATTTCCTATTTCTTCTAATCTTGGACTGCTTCCCTGGGGGGGGAAAAAAAAGCTGCTCTAGAGAAAGCCACAAGCCAAACATTATGGCTTACAGGCAACACATAATTAAAGAGTTAACAGTAAGGCTGAAAGGGAGGATGAACTGTTTTCCACAGCTTGCTGTTATCCTGGGGCCTTGCAACCTGAGTAGCACTGACCCTAAACTCTGACTTGCATTTAGCAGGCCAGGCTATTCCACACAGACCGGAGATCATGTAAGCGCAGAGCGTCTTTTTGTGGAGTGTGATGTGGTGCAAAGTCCCCTGTGTGTGTGCAGGGGACCTGGAAGGTTTGACCTTCTGCATGCCACATGGAGCCCCTAATCTGGAGCTCTGGGATCTGGCTCTGTTGAGCTCAACGTGTTGGGTAGAAGTTGAAGCTCTACCCTGTAAACAAAGCCTTCAAGTGGAAAGAAAAAAAAAAAAAATAGAAAGGTGAGGTTTTACATCAGGATCCAGGTTTTAGCAATTGAGAGAATAGTTAAGAAGAAATAACAAAATAATGCACTATTGTGTGGATCCAGTTAAGCATCCTGGAAATGTCACCTTGTGCATCCTGTAATTTAATCAGATCTTACTTTTTGCAGGGCACAAAAAAGGAATATGAAACTACACACACAATTTTCCTTTAAAAAGTTCAGTTCATTTTCTAACTCTTAATTTTTCCCTGAAGACTGGTTGCTCTAGGCAAGAATCCACATGTGTGTTTAGATGAAGGGCCTTGTGACTGAAAATCAACCACTGATGATCTATATATAATTGGTGCTTCAGCCAGTAATTGAATGTCTGTGGAATAAAGATGCCTTGAAGAAACCCTGTGTCTCTCAGGCAGCTTTTTCTCTCTATGGATTACAAAAAAAACTGGGCATTTTTATAGCTAGTATACATTTTTAATTAGCACCATAGTTACCTAAGTAAATAATGCATAGATTAAAATACTCATTTAAAAAATGACAAAGTATTTAATTGAAAACAAAATAATGAATGAGAGGAATTTTCAAACAGGAAAATGGTGTACCGTAAGGAGCTATTACTAGTCCTTTGCTACACAAACCTACATACCTGCTCCAACCCTCTTAGGCTTTGCCATTTTTCTGTTTGGCACCAGAAGACAGAGGTGCTCAGTAGCTGCAACACAAGACCTGGGCTGCCTCACTGCCAGTGCACTGGCCCCTTTGCTATCGTGTGCCTTGTTTGCACTGCAGCAGCAGCCTGGGATGTAGCTGCTGCAACCAGGCATGTGGCAGGTGAAAGGGTTCAGCTACCAAGTGGATTCAAAGTTTTCAAAGGCAGGAATGCTGGAGGCAGCTCACCCGCTGGCATCAGTGACATGGTTCTATCTCATCTCATCTCATCTCATCCCATACTAGATGTGGCCATACATCCATACAGCATGCCAACACTTCACCAGCTCCCACTGAAGAATGGCCCCAAAACACCATTCAAGAATAATGGAAATACATGAATGTCTCACACAAGGACAAGCTTAGGGAGTAAAATCATCAACCCCACTGACAATTTGATGGTTTCATGTTCAGGGAATGGTTCTGTGTTTATCAATGTTTAATTGTATAAACTTAAAAGTAGTACCATTGGTTACATAAGAATTACTCACGCACATATATTTAAAAGCTTGCTGGAACTAACATTTACGTGTGTGCTTTTATGTTTGTGTATACGTTTTCATATCAGACAACATTTGTGTCCTTGTCTTGCTAAACAAACATATGAAATCACTGCTCTCATAGATACTTAACTGGAAAGCTCGGAGTGTCATCAAGAAAGTCTAGGTGATAGGTTAAACCTAATCTTCGTATCAGATGGTAGATTTTTTCTTCAGCAGTTGTTGTTTTTTTTTTTTCCTATAAGACAGCTCTGCAAACCTAGGTGAGGCTTCACGGAAATATTTTAAAGTGGGATCTCTTGTTTCATTGAATCACAGAATGGTTTGGATTGGAAGTGACCTTAAAGATTATCTAGTTCCAACACCCTGCCGTGGGCAGGGACACCTTCCACTAGATCAGGTTGCTCAAAGCCCCGTCCAACCTGGCCTTGAACCCTTCCAGGGAGGGGGCAGCCACAGCTTCTCTGGGCAACCTGTGCCAGTGTCTCGCTACCCTCACAGGAAGGAATTTCTTCCTTATATCTAATCTAAATCTTCCCTCTTTCAGTTTAAAACTGTTACCCCCTCATCCTATCCCTATATATACTCCCTGATAAAGAGTCCCTCCCCAGCTTTCCTATCAGCCCCTTTTAAGTACTGGAAGGCCACTAAAAGGTCTCCCTGAAGCCTTCTCTTCTCCAGGCTGAACGCCCCCAACTCTCTCAGCCTGGCCTCACAGGGGAGCTGCTCCAGTCCCCCGAGCATCTTCGTGGCCTCCTCTGGCCCCGCTCGAGCAGGTCTGTGTCCTTCTGATGTTGGGGCCCACAGAGCTGGACCCAGCACTGCAGGGGTGGTCTCACAAGAGCCATGTAGAGAGGGAGAGAATCCCCTCCCTCAACCTGCTGGCCACGCTTCTCTTGATGCAGCCCAGGACACGGTCGGCTTTCGGAGCTGCAAGTGCACATTGCTGGGTCAGTCAGTTTTCCATCCACTACTACTCCCAAGTCCTTCTCCGCAGGGCTGCTCTCAATCCACTCCTTGCCCAGCCTGGATTTGTGTTTGGGATTGCCCCGACCCACGGGCAGGACCTTGCCCTTGGCCTTGTTGAACTTCATGAAGTCTGCTCGGGCCCACCTCTCCAGCCTGTCCAGGTCACTCTGGATGGCATCCCTGCCCTCCAGCATGTCACTGCACCACACAGCTTGGTGTCACTGGAGAACTTGCTGAGGGTGCACTCGATTCCAGTACAGGAATCTTCATTCTTAATACAGTTGACCTTTGATTTCAGAAGTGCTGGAGTGTTATATATGGCTGTTATACCTGGCTTGCTGCTCTGCTTCCATTTTTCTTTCCTGAGAACTATCTACCTCTCAAGGATGAGATGAAACATCATGTATGTTTAGTGTGGGCTTTTGAACAATTTAAAAGGTGTAAAGTTTATCTAGCCAGAACGGTAGGCAAGGATGTTATTCTGGTGGAATTTTGATGTATATTGGAAAAGGAATGTAGTCAGAGCCCTCTGCCACACACAGCAAAATAATTTCATCCTATCAATATACTTTAAACCGCTGAAATATATACATTTTAAAGTGAAAAATATAAACTGCAGGGTTCAAACCACTTATAAATTGCTTCCAAGTTTTGTCTGGTGAAATATTGTCATTACAGCAATGGGGAACAGGAAGCTTGAAGTAGCTTTATGTAACACAACTGCAAGCCGTGGAAATAGAGGCTTGCAGAAAGTGCAGCTCGTACTTGCATTTGGCAGGGACACAGCAACAAAGATACTTGCACTCTGGAGAAATGGCATACGTTTTTTAGCGTGTGGTGGTCTGGACCCTGTTCTACATCTGATGTTAAAGGAGGGGCACAAGAATATTGAGTGTATCAGTTAAGCTTCTGGCTTAAGGCCATTCTCCAGGCAACGTGCCATAGCTATGAAATCACTGTTATTTTAGACTTCACATTAGATGAATAGGGTAGTACAAGCTGTTTGAAACTCTGCTTTGATGTATTTACATGTTTTGAAATAATGCCTAGCATTTAATACAGAGTTTTGCTAACATTAGCTTTCCTAAGTGCCTGATAAAAATAGTCTTATTCCCCACTGTTTTAAGGTTATTTTTCTAATTAAATGCAGATGCTTAAACCACCAGCATTCACCACAAGATTCAGTTGTTATTATATCATCTATATTAAATCCCGATTTATGCTCTGAATTTCTAACTGAACACTAAAAACTACATTAGCTCTATGCCAGATATGATTATGATTCATTGCTATATATCATAATTACCTGGGAACAAGTGGGAATGGCAGGAATAGTACTCTATCCTCACATAAAAAAAGACCTCTTGAAGTCAGTGTCAAAGTTGTCATTGACTTCACTGACAACAGCATTTGGTCACAAATACCCAGGTCTTTACTGCTTAAATTAATCTCCTTTAGTTCTTAGCCACACAGGCCCAGAAACTGCATACCTGTATCAGTGTGCCTAAGTTTTTGAAGCTGAATGGTTTTGTTTTCCTTAGTCGTTGTTTTCACAGCAAAATGGAAGATTTCAGAGAGATCTCCACCTGACATGAGTACATTTAAGCACCCATTTTTAACCAAACAGCAGTTTATCACAATACTGCCAGTGGCAGGAAATGTGCCAGATCCTCCCAGCACGCGTACCTTGCTTTGGGATACCTACACACTGTGCACTCGGTTTTTAAGTTCAAATCAGTGGCTATCAGGCCTCTTTTCGAAGTCTTTATGCCAACATGTGAACGTTTGGCATTTTTTTTTTTTTTACAGGGAAGCAAAGATAAAAGCAGTGAAGTTTTGTGACGTGGCTTCATTTCACGAGAACAAGGGGGGCTCGGAGGCGCTGAGGGGCGCGGAGACCCGACGGGCTGCGGCTGGAGCCCCTGTTCAGGAAGGGTGGGATTTTTTTTCCCAGGCCGCCCCCGCCCAAGTCCCTGTAGGAGGCTGCTTGGACTCGGGTCACTCGGACCCACGTACGACCCTTGTGACCCAGAAGCAGTGGGGAAACCAGGACTGGCAATGAAGGGCCGGGGCGGCTCAGGCCCCTCCGCCCCCTCGCCCCCCGCCGTCGCCCTCACCTCCAGCCCCCCTTCCCGCCCGCCCTCAGACGTCACTTCCTGGGGGCGGGGCCGGCAGCGCAGCGAGCCGCGGGGTGTCGGCGGCGGCCCTGTGATGGCGGCGGCGGCGGGGCGCCGGCAGCCGCGGCGGCTGGGAGCGCCGGGGGGGCTGTGCCGCTCCTAACTCGGCGTCGGGCCCCTGCGCCATGGGGAGGAGCCGCGGCGGGCGGCTGGCCTGAGGTCGGCGGCGACAGCGGAGGAGCGCGGCACTGCCGAAGGGGGGGGCCCCGCCGCGGGGGCCGCGACCCGCCCCGCCGGGGATGTTGCGGTGGGTCCGGCAGCAGCTGGTAGGTGACTCGCGGCTCCGCGGGGCTGGGTCGCGGCCGGGGGCTTCACCGTCACCCCGCGCACCCCCTCGCCTCGGCCTGGCTCGGCTCGGCTCTCCGGGGCGGCCCCGGCCCGATGCCTCTGCCCGGGCCGCTGTTGCTGAGGGGACCCGGAGGCGCGGGCGGGAGGGCTGAGGGGGAGCAGGGCCCAAGGGTGGGAAGGAGGGGGGGGAGACCTTCCCCCGCCGCGAGCGGGGAGCGGTAGGGGACCCGTAGGCTTCGCTTGGATCGTTACTGTCGTTTTATTAAATGTTATTTTTAAGATGTATCGGAGGATTTGGGGTATTTCGGGATTTTTTTGCGTGTTTTTTGTTGTTGTTGTTTGTTTGTTTGCTTTGGTTTGTTCGGGTTATTTTTTCCTTGAAAGCACGTCCCCTTACCTGTGGCCCCGTTTGGGAAAGGCTCCCCAAACTACTTTTCACGGAGGAGTGACGGTGTCTTTTTCTGTGGACCGACACTTCAGAGATTTGCTGGCCTCTCCTCCTCCTTCACGTTGCGAAATCTTCTAAGGCTTTTCACCCCATGCGCGTCTCCCTCGTTTGTTTCCCCGTACCTGGGAGCTGTGCACCCGTTGCTTCTGCGTGTGCGTTAAGGCTTCGAAAGTGATGAGCAGTGGAAGAAAAACATCCGTGAAATGCTTTTCGCGGGGGAAACCACTTGAAAAAGGCTGCAGTTGGAGGGCGCCTCCCTCTAGACAGGCGCTCCTTGCTGCGCTTGTGCTGTGGCGTGCGAGGGAAATGGGGTGGCCGTGGCTGTAGTGTCTGTGGTGCCGTATCAGCGAAGTACATTGAGTTTGACTGCTTTGATTTGAAGTTGTTGGCTGGCTTCCTGCCCCCTCCAGCATTATTTCTCTTGCATTTTCTAAAAGGGAGAAATTCCTTCTAAATTATGTATTTACAAACTTACTTTTTTCCATTCATTGGCAATGCCTTGCATCATCAGTGTTGCTCAGGTTAGTACCAGAACTACATTAGATAGGTTAGATTTTTACATTGTAACGGTTAAAGCTTCTGTCTCACTAATGATTTGTTTAATTTGTTACATCACTTCTTACAAAAAAACCCCAATTTTTTTTGTTGTGTTGTTTGTTTTGGTTTATTTTTTTTCATTTTCTTCCCCTACCTCCTTTCCCATGGCCCACAGATTTTCCCATACCTGTGTCCAAAGCACAGAGTTTGTGCTGATGGTCTCAATGCCAGTTTGACAGGGCTCATTAATTTGGTCTGACCCCAAGAGTCATTGACCTGGAAATTAATTGCTCTGTCTGAGCTCTGACTGCACTCTTCTATTAGTCATACATGTGTTTTTTAGAATAAATGCTGATTGGCGTAACATAGTTATCATTTTTCACTTTGAAGGTGGCTTGAGGTTTGTGTGTGTGGTTTTTAAAGCAGGATTATGTTGTCCACTGTAGAGTTTAGATTAGACTGTATCAGTGCTAGGAATTCATGTATCAGGCATGATTGCTTTTCCCCCTGTGAGTACACTGACTAGCTTTCCAGAAATATGTTTGCCCTTAATAGAAAGTAAAAGTTTGGTGTAACAAGATGAGCCATAAACCTGGCACTAAGAGGTTTTTGTTCTTCTACAGGAAACTCTTTGTTGGGAAAGTAAAACTTGCATTGGTTTTGACAGGGAAGGATTAGTGTAGTAAAAGAACAGGATAATAAAAAGTGTACTTGAACAGATGCTTAAATATGGTACTAAGGAAAAAAATCTTGTAATGATACATGTTTTGCCTTTTCTATAAACCTCACTGTTTGATGTTAATGCCCTGGTTGTTTCACAGCTCATAAAGATGAAAGATGGTCTAAGGAAGGTATCACACTGCATGTTTCTTCAAGGGACACTCAGAAAACTCATCCTTGTGTGTAATCGGTTTAACAGAGATCCCACCGTGTTTGCTTCTTCATATGTCTGTGATGCTTAGGTTCTGAAAGAACGTCAAAAGGCCGAGAACCTGGGGAAGGATGCTGAGAGAATAATCAGAGCAAGTTGGAAGAGTGGGGTGGCAGAAATACTTTAATCAAAGGGTGGCAAAAGCTGTGTCTGTTTTATTTCTGATAGAAGAAGATAAGAACGTGCGGGTTTGGATGCCTTTAGAGCATGTATTTGTAGCTGTGCTTGATGTGGTAACAGGTTTTGAAAAAAGTGTTCTCTTCCATACAGGAGGGTTGGAACCCGGCAAGTGCGTGGGAGTGATTTAAGTGAGATGTTGTAGTCGCACAAAAGAAAATCTTTGGTGTGCAGAAATGTTAGAAAGTAGTAAGGGATTGGGGAAAGGAGGAGGGACTGGTACTTTGCTGAAGGTGCTTTTAGGTAGTTATTAAGTACTCCCAGTATGAAACCAGTGAATGTTTGGCAACTTCTTGTTTGCTTAAGAGGACAGTATTTCATATGCTAATTACTGCCATTGACCTGAGTGTGTATGGTTTTGAGAGCTTGTGTTCTCAAGAGTTGTAAAAGAGGCAGGGGAAATGAAGCAGGTGGTCTTAGAAGTAAGTAATGAGAGGACCTGGTATGGAATTAAAATTATTTCGGTTAAGTTCTTTGAGTGGTGACTTTGCTATGCTTTAGTCTGTGAAGATCTATGCGTGACTTTACAGCTACATAAAGGGATGACTAGTCCTCTGAGAACAGGACACATACTGCGAATGTAAGTTTCTTCATTCTTACTATTGTCTTACAAGTCCAAAACAGTTTTCTAACTGAGCTATTACTTGTCTTTTCAGTGGTTTGTTGTATAATATAAATTGGTGACAGTAATACTGTAGCTCAGTCTTCAGTGCCTATGTGGGACTTACAAATAGTCAGTTTGGTTTGGTATCTTGGTCTTCAGTCCACTTTGTTTTCTCAGAAGCAATTAACACCACCCTACACAGACAGTTTATCAGTTTTTCTTTGTCTAATGCTGCCCCATACTAAATAAACTGCATAACAAATCATTAACAGCATGCAACTTTCTAGTTAATATTACTATATTGTAACATCATTATGTAGTTAATAGTTGGAAGTACTTAAATTTTAGTAATAAAAAAATGTAGAGACAAGTGGACTTACGATTCATTGCTTTGAATAAAATGCTGTGATGTTTTTCAAAGACAGGCTTTGAGCAGGAAAGATGCCCGAGTTCCAGCTCTGTTACCTTGAGATCTCAGAAAGGCAGTAGGCATGTGGATTTGCTGAGGGTTGCATAATGCCACAGGTATGGCCAGCTCTGCTTGAAAACAGCAACTGGGTAAACAACAGTTGATAGGAAGCATCATTAATATTCAGTAATAGTACAATACATTTTATTTGCATTTCCATATGATGGGTTAGACTACATAGCTAATCTGTGTATAGCAGAGCACCATTGTGGTTCTCCTGGACAGATTTGTGAAGTACCAACACAAAACAACAGTAGGAAGTGGCATTTGTAATGCTCAGTGACTTTCTGTACTACTTCTAGCTTGACAGATTTATGACAGTGCACTGTGCTAATGTCCTGATGGTGTACATGGAGTGTAGGAGCTGTTGCAGTGGTATTAACAGAAAGTAATGACAACATCAGTTGTCTGGCAAGAACTGTGGTAGAATACCCCTGTATGTATGATCATAGCTGCATAATTTTGAACTATTATTCCTGTCAAGTGAAGAAGGGTCCCTTCTAGTTACTCTTATGTGGAGTCTGAGCCTTTTGATCTGTTATCTAGCAGTGCAATTATGTACAAAAGATACTGTGTGGAGAAAACCTGAGAGCTACCTGCCTGGTCTCCCTCTTATACATGACAGTTCCAGAGAAGCAGAGTTATGTTGTATTTGGCAGAGTATCTTCTTCCTATGGTTTAAGAACCTGAATTCTGATGTGCACTGACAACAACTTTTACATTACACAGAGCAAGGTATTGAGGTAAATGCAACTTTGATATTTAACCGGAAGTCAAAGAGAAAATGTGTAGATTAATTCCTGTGAATTGCTGTCTTTTTATTGGAAAACCTAGTTACCAGAATATTTTATTTTGTGGTTATAGGAAAGTTCAGAATGGGAGGGACATCAAGAGTTCACCTAGTCCCAGAGTTCTATGTAACAGTGAAAGGTGATCACAGGGAATGTTTTTGACTGTTTTGTGTTGGTTGTCCCTGTCACACTCCACACCCTCCCAAGATGAACAAGTGTTCATCTTTTGAATGCGTTCTAATGAAAAGTTTCTTCTACTAAGAAGGGAAATGGCCTCAAATAGATTGTCACTGGAAGACTGTATGTTTGGGATGTTCTTCCCTTTCCTTCCAGGTGTTGGTATCTGTTGATGTTCTGAGAGGGGCAGATGGCATTCTGTGATAACTTGCAGTTACTGGCATTTTGAACAAGGTAGACAGCATCTGATCTCCTTGTTTGCACAGACGTGTGTAGTATTTTCACTTAATCATTTCACAGAATTGAACCAATGCAGTTACTTCCCCCCTCCCCCAAATTCCCTGTATTTTTTGAATACTGAAAGTACCTCGAATTAATCCAATGACTGAGAATCATGGCTTTTGAAATCGCATTGCTTTTTGGAACACAATTTCCCCCCCTCTTTTTTTACTTGTCATTGAAGCCTGTTCACCTTTTCAGCTAAAATTAACTGGGTTTCTGTTATTGTATACTAGAAAAATAAATGCCTATTTGCTCAAAAGAGTTCCTCTGGTTCAGACAGCCTAGGAAGTACCTTCTGTGTTGTCACTGAAGGATCAGTGAGGTGTGTCTTAGAGCAGCCCAAAGGTTGCACTGCTTTGGTTAGAGTAGCTTGAGAACAGGGGGTTAATGACCCTTCTCATGTAACCTCACACAGGAGAAAATGTGGCCCGATTTTTTTGCTAGAGATAATCTGAGATCTGATTGACTAGTCTTCCCAGTGTGTTTGGGTCTTTTAACCTTCCTTTCTTTTTATATTCTGCAACTGCTGAAGGCTAATACATTTGCAGCACAGTGTGTTCCA